ATGGGAAAATTCACTATTATAAATATACATGATCAATTCTATATATATAAAATAGACAGAAATGTTTGTAATCTTACAACAGAAGAACGAACAGAAGTAACCGAAGAATGGGGAGAAATAAAAGCAAGAATCGGAATGGCTAAAACGGCGTTTAGACAGGAAAAGATATTATTTGCTAATAAAATGGAGCTGAAGAAAATTCTAGAGGTATGTTTTTCTATATGCAGCTAAGACGTGGACCTTAGGTGAGGAAAAGGAAAGAGTAAAAAGTCTGGAAATGTGGTTATGGAGAAGGGTTGAAGTAAATGTAGGAATAAAGATGTGTTGTCGAGGATAGTGAAGAAAAAAAAGTTTAACTATCATTAAAAAAGTTAATTCAATTGGTTACCCATAACCTTCTTAATCAACAATCGAGATAACCGAGATAACAATATTTGTTTCAAGGTAAACATTGCACCACAGTTTTGAAATAAAAGTTAAGGCCATGTTTCTGAAAATTTCTGCACGAGGTGTACCATCGCAATGGTATTAATTTTATAAAAGCAAACCTTCACGAAACGAGGGAAGTTTATTAACTTTTGTGTTAATTAAATGTTAATGAGTTGCTTGGGGGACAATGAACAATTGTAGATTTTTGAGATGGAGCAATTCCCATGCACGCATTAACATTTGACAATTTAAATTCTCATTGAAGACTATAATGTCACTTTTACAGCGGCAAAATGCACAGCATCTCGTTCATATCGTGCTTCTTCATTCATCTGGGATTTTACATTTTGACATTTGTGGGTGCGTTAAGTGCGCTGGTGCGTCCTCCGAAATGGGCGCGAGAAAAAAACCGAATGGGATACCCGCCGCTTTACAGTCGATTGGAAACGTTTGTATCGCTTTACTTGTACGGAAGGGTACGAGATTGTTGGGCGAACCCAGTTTGTAGTGTACCAGGCGCGGAAGTTCTTTTGAAACAGCGCGTGTTCGAGAAGAAGGGTTGTATTTCTAGGTAAACCCCTTTAGGTTTCAGGAAATTACTAACAGTAACTTTCAGTTTTAAATATACGGGTCGCAGAGTGAAATGCATCAACATGGCTTCGTACAACTACCTTGGGTTCGCGGAAAATTGCGGAGGAGGCTCGGATTTTGCTATCAAGACAATTTACGAGAATGGACTGTCGACGGGAAGCACACGCCTTTCGTATGGTACCTTGGATATTCACAGCGAGCTGGAAAAACTGACCGCCGAGTTTCTGGGAGTGGAAGACGCGCTATCTTGCGGAATGGGTTTCGCTACCAACTCGCTTAATTTACCCGTTTTGCTATCGGGGGGATGCCTTGTGTTAAGTGACGAAAAGAACCATACCTCCATTATTCTCGGGGTGAAAATTTCGGGTGCTACGGTAAAAGTGTTCAAACACAATGGTACATGTTTACGCAAAAGTACGAAAGCTGAAGCGATCTTTTCTAGATGTCGACCACCTAGAACTCCTACTGAAGGAGGCTGTATATTACGGCCAAAATCGGAAAGGGGATTACAAACCTTGGATGAAGATTTTTATAATAGTCGAAGGAATGTACAGTATGGAAGGTACATTAGCACCATTACCTCAGATTATTGCTCTTAAGAGGAAGTATAAGGCGTATTTATATGTAGACGAAGCTCACAGTATTGGAGCCATGGGAAAAAGTGGAAGAGGCGTTGTTGAGTATTTTGGTTGTAACCCCAAAGATGTGGATATTTTAATGGGTACGTATACCAAGAGTTTTGGAGCGGCTGGCGGTTATATCGCAGGGTCAAAAAAGTTTATCTCACACATGCGGTTGAATAGCTACACTTCGAAATACGCATGCTCCATGTCACCCCCTGTAGCCGCACACATTGTGGGGGTACTTAAAATACTTATGCAAATGGATGGCACGACCATAGGTCAAACTCGACTGTCAACTTTGGCCAGAAACACCAAGTACTTTCGGCTCAAGTTACGACAGATGGGACTCATTATTTTTGGATGCGAGGACTCGCCAGTGGTACCCATACTTTGCTATTTTTCCGATTGGAAACCGTTTACTTGTACGAAGGGTACGAGATTGTTGGGCGAACCCAGTTTGTACCAGTTCCCAGAACCCCCTTTAGGTTTCAGGAAATTACTAACAGTAACTTTCAGTTTTAAATATACGGGTCTGAAATGCATCAACATGGCTTCGTACAACTACCTTGGGTTCGCCGGATCGGATTTTGCTATCAAGACAATTTACGAGAATTGACGGGAAGCACACGCCTTTCGTATGGTACCTTGGATATTCATCTGACCGCCGAGTTTCTGGGAGTGGAAGACGCGCTATCTTGCGGAATGGGTTTCGCTACCAACTCGCTTAATTTACCCGTTTTGCTATATGCCTTGTGTTAAGTGACGAAAAGAACCATACCTCCATTATTCTCGGGGTGAAAATTTCGACGGTAAAAGTGTTCAAACACAATGGTACATGCGCAAAAGTTTGATTCGATTCCTACTGAAGGAGGCTGTATTTACGTCGGAAGGGGATTACAAACCTTGTTATGAATATTTTATAATTTCTCAGTATTACATTAGCGATGCAAATGAAACGTAAAAATTCATATTTACCGAGATATGTATATATTCCAGGGGAAAAAGTGGAAGAGGCGTTGTTGAGTATTTTGGTTGCAACCCAAAGATGTGGGTATTTTAATGGGTACGTATACCAAGAGTTTTGGAGCGGCTGGCGGTTATATCGCAGGGTCAAAAAAGTTTATCTCACACATGCGGTTGAATAGCTACACTTCGAAATACGCATGCTCCATGTCACCCCCTGTAGCCGCACACATTGTGGGGGTACTTAAAATACTTATGCAAATGGATGGCACGACCATAGGTCAAACTCGACTGTCAACTTTGGCCAGAAACACCAAGTACTTTCGGCTCAAGTTACGACAGATGGGACTCATTATTTTTGGATGCGAGGACTCGCCAGTGGTACCCATACTTTGCTATTTCTATTCCAAAATTGCGTACGTTCCCAATCGATTGAAATCTCTTGTTAATGTCTACTTTTAGCGCCATGATTAGAACATTGAAAGAAAACAATATCGCCATTATCGGTGTCGGTTATCCTGTTACGCCTTTCCTAGAGGGTCGTCTGCGAATTTGTATTTCAGCGAGTCACACGAAGGAGCAGCTCGACTACGTTCTGGAAGTTATCTCGAAGGCTTCACATCAGTTTGGACTGAATTATTCCAAACTTCCTCGTAGTAATAAGTTGATTAAGTACTAACTTATATTGCTATTATAAACAATTACGATACTGTGTCATATAATATAGCTTTAAATATTTTACATTTCGTGATATCATTTGTATCTGAATAATTTACTACGGCACCCAGTGCCACCTTCGGAAATATTATTCCATAGTTTTGGTGTCCAGGTACCAGATTGGTTTGTTTATGGGTGGGGAATATAGAGTAGGGGGCGGTCTATTGAGGAACTAAAAACAATTGAATTTCTTTAAATGGCAGTATACCTATTCATTAGGCTCATTTCTCTATACGATGATATAACATGTTATAGTACAAGTTAATACAAATTCAAAAAATATATATAATTATATCAATAGGTAACATTAATCTAGATATCCTACATCAAAATAAAACAAATGAACGTGTACGTTTCTTATTAAACCTTGTGGACAAAATGAAATTAGCAATCAAATGGTTTTCATTCAACATACACATTCTTTTGTTTTATTTTGGTGTAGGATATCTAGATTAATGTTATTGATATTATAATAATTTTTTTGAAAATTTGTTTATATCATTATTTTATAAATCTCTATTAAATTATGCAAATGAAAGGGTGTATTGCTATTTCAAAAAATTCATATTTACCGAGATATGTACTATATTCCAGGGGAAAAAGTGGAAGAGGCGTTGTTGAGTATTTTGGTTGCAACCCAAAGGATGTTCAATGTTGGTATTTTAATGGGTACGTATGCGAAGAGTTTTGGAGCGGGTGGCGGTTACATCGCGGGATCAAAGAAGTTCATCTCACATGTGCTAGGGTTAAAAAGAGATAAGGGAATGGGGGTACGAAACGAAAGAGGAGAAAAGAACACAGGCCAGGCGAGTAGAAGTAGCGGAGGGGCGAAAGTGGGAATGATTACAACATACAACACAGAAGGAATAAACAATAAAATAGAAAATATGGTACACGAAAGGGAGAGGGAGGGGCCAATACTGACGGGAGATTTAATGCCAGAAAAGGAATTAAAGGAAAATGGGTAGAGATGAGAAGAGAAACCCAAGATAGAAAATCAAGAGATAAAGAGAGAAGCAAAGAAAGAGATGTGTTACTGGAATTTTACACAAGAAAGGTTGGAGAATTTTAAACGGAAATATGGAGGGATGGGGGAGATTGGGACGGGAAATTCACATACATTGAAGGAAGAAGGAGGTCGGTGATTGATTACATAATTGTAAACAAAAAAAGACTGAAAGAAATAGATGAATTCAAGATAAGAACAAGCATAGAATCGGGTCACCAACCGATAAACTTGAGTCTAAAAGGGAAGATAGGAAGATCCAGAAATTAAAGCCGCAAGGGCGAAGGGACAAGACACACGGCGGAACTGTATAAAGAAAAACTAGAGCAACAAGGTGAAATACAGACGAGGAGTGGAATAATATAAAACAATAATGTGGAAACAAATAACTGAAAGGGATGGGGGGAAAAAAGAAAAGAGTGACGGGGCAAAGAGTGTGCAGAAGAGATACATAGATATAGAAGAATGATGGAGAAAAAAGAGGAGAGGAAATACAGGAGAAAAAGTTGGGAGAACAGAAAAAAAGTACAAAAGAATATGCAAAGAAAAAAAGATGGAGAAACAGAAATAATACGAAGGGCAAATCAGGGAAATAAAAACAGAAAAGGATTTTTATAAGGTGATAAACATTCGAGAAATAGAACAACTGGGAGGGAAATGCGAGTAGGAGAATGGAATCAACATTTTTCGTCAAGTTACTACAAGGAAAGCAGGACAAAGAGGAAGTTATGGAAGAGGTAGGAAGAGAGGAGGTCGAAGGACATGAGATAGCAAAAGAGATTGAGCAGAAATTAAAAAGACTTAAAAGAGAAAGCGACAAGGAGAGACGAAATACGAAATGGAGGCTTAGATTTTCGCCACAGATGGGGGTCAAGGAAAGGATGAGAAATCTAGTAAACAATGTACGGAAAGAAGGGGGTTTAAATGCGCCAATCTTCAAAAGAGGGAACAAAGATTTTGTGGGAAATTAAAGGGGAGATACTATAATGACTACGGCATATAGAATCTATGCAATGATACGGAACGAAACACTAGAAAGAAGAATGGAAGAGAAGAGGATGTTGGAAGAAAATGAGCTTCAGAAAATGAAAGGAATCGATTGACTGCATATGTGTATTACACAGATTATTGGAAAAGGAATTGGTAAAAAAGGGCGGACAGGTTTTCGCGGACAGAGTGGAAACGTATGGAAGATGGGAAAATGGGAAAATTGACAAAAAGTTAAAGGGCACAATCAGGGAACTACTCGTATATGGAGAGACAAAATTGACAGAAAGAATAGAAAAGATCTGATTTAATGTCTACTTAAAAGACATGGAAAAAGTATCCCGAGGGAGAGATAGTAGTGGAAAGAAGAAATATATGGCCCCTGGATACTCGCACGACGCAGTAGTGATCATGGCAACAGAGGTCGAACAGATGAAGGAAACGATGGGAAGAATGGAGCAGTATTGAGAGGTTAAATATAGAAAAGTTGAAAATGAGAGAGGAAAGACTAGTAGTGGCAAAAGCAGAGCTGGGCAGTATTCGATTTTGTAAATACTTTTTAGTATTCAAATCCTTTAAAGTATTCAAATACTTTGTAATGAAATACTTTCATGGAAGCAGTATTTGTATTTGTAACTCAAATACTTTCACAAATATCTAGTATTCGAATACTTCGCATAGTATTTGAATACTTAACCTTCCCTTTTTTACCAAAAATCGTCTACTCCAACATTTCTCGGGAAAACACTTTTTCTTATTAATTTTGATGCGTAGAATCCAGACGATTCGTACTTTTTCGATTAGATTTCTCAATCAAAAGTTATGGACTAGAAACCAATTTCGAAAGAGAATTCAAAGGGCTGTAACTTTTGAACTAGTAGCCCAATCTTGGAACTGTTTGAAATTATGGATTCTACAGGCCACATTCTATAAGCAATTTTGTTTGCCGGTCGGTCTCAGACAATTTTTTTTTCCGGCCTCAAAAAAAGGCAGTACTTTTAAGTTATTCAAATATTTGAGAACAATTTAGAAATGTTTAGGGAAAGTTTCCATTGTCACAAAATCAAATATAAAAATCCGATACATCTGAATACCGAACTCGATAGTCTACGTAACTTAAAAACAATAGGGACCTTTCTTATATCCTTAAGACCATATGTACCAATTTTCAAAGCGATCGCCCGTTTCTAAACAAGCTATCATGCACACGGACAAACGGATGGTCAAAAATGGATCTGTTCCAAAATCGCTAGGATTAATTTCAGAAAGGCGTACGTATCATGTGCACGACGTACGATCGCTTTGAAAATTGGTACACGTAGGTATTCCTAAGGATATAACTGGAATAAGAAAGGTCCTGGTAGGTAGCTCCTATATAATAATATAATAATAATAATACGCTTTTACTCCCCTTAAATTTGTATATAGCAATAGAAATATAAAAAAAGCTAACCCCATACAAAGAATAACTTGATTTTTTAAGTAGTATTAAGCCTTTTATCTAGTATACTATTTTAAATTTTTAATGTATTTGAGTGACAAGTATTTGAATACTTTTTACTGTATGATAGTATTAATGAATACTTCTGAATAGTATTCGAATACCTTTGAAAGTATTCGAATACATTTTAAAGTCTTAAGTATTTGAATACTTTTCAATGTATCTGTATCTAGTATTCGCTTGTGCTGGACGTAAAAGTATTTAGTATTCAAATACTTTTTGAAAGTATTCTGCCCAGCTCTGGGCAAAAGAAATTAAATATTTAGGGTACAAAATGGAAAGAAACAATTAAGTAAATGCGCAGATAAGAGAATTAAGGAAAACGGGCGTGGAGGCGATGAGACAGGCGTGGGGAATTGGAAAGCGGGGGTTCAAGATTGATTTTAGAACAAGAAAGTACCTGTTCGAGAGATGTGGGGGTGGAAGTAGAGGCGTAGGGCGATAAGATGTGAGGAAAGACGGGATAGAGAGATACAATTGGGGAAAGAATGCTTGGCAACGAGGATGAACACGAAAGGAATGTGGGAAGAACCTTCCTGTTTTTCAATTGACAGGAAAGTAGCCGATTCTTATACAGGAATTGAATAGTACGAGGAGAATTTCAGAAAGAGTCTCCAGGGGTAACGTTCTTAGTATGTTTTCGTGAATTGCGTCCAGTCCAGGAGCTTTGCTTTGGGGATTTTTGGCGCTTGTGCAAGGATGTCCTGCCTATAGTGACCACCAGTCGTTGAATTGTCGGAAACGCATTTCGGCGTGGAGGGATCGTCGTCAGGAAAGGGGATATTTAAAATTTTGTCTGTTGTTTGCCGTCCGGAGACAGTGTATCTGTCACCGTCGCAGATATTGGAACAAGGGTCGAAGGAAGCTCGCTTTTGAGATAATATGCGATATACTACTCCCCAGGGGTTAGCCGATATGTTTATGGAGAGGAGAAAGGGTTAGTAATGAAGATGTGGTGTCGAGAATAGTGGAGAAAAGAAAGTTGCCGAACACCATAGCAGAAACAAAAGTTAATTAGAATGGGCATGTATTAAGGAATGACTGTTGGTTGAAGGAGGTGTTAGAAAGAAGAGTGGAAAGGATTCCAGGCGAGGAAGAAGAAGAATGACAACGATCAGTGGGTTTATGGGAAAGCTATACGAAGATTAAGAGTACCACTGAGGATCTATTTTTCATTTTCATCAATAATAAATTCCTTGCTTACGTAATTCCTTAATTGTTAGAAAATGTTAATTAAATGACGTAGATATGACTGCTACTCGTGGACCTCTAAATAAACAATTTAAATAACTAACGCAAAAATATGTCTCAACAGCAACTCATCGGCTATTGAGATTCTGGAAGATAATTTTTTAAATAAAACAGTAGAGTTTTAGGTGATAAAGGATTGGAGACCATGGTTGTAAAATATTTCTACGACTCGTTTCATGCACAAGGTATACCATCTCAATGTTTTTAATTTTATTCAATAAAAAACCTTCTCAAACCGTGAGAGGCTTGTTACATTTCGAGTTAATTTTATGTGAGAACAACTAATGTAGATTACAAATTATAAAATTCAATGTTGATTATCGTTTGAGACCATTGTAGCTTTTAGAGCGACGAAATGCATACCATCTCGTTTATATCGTGCTTCTTCGTTCATCTGGGATTTTACATTTTGATCTTTGTGGGTGCGCTAAGTGCGCTGGTACGGCCTCCGCAATTGACGCGAGAAAAAAACCGTGTGGGATACCCGCCACTTTACAGTCGATTGGAAACGTTTGTATCGCTTTACTTGCTCGGAAGGCTGCGAGATTGTTTGTCGAACCCAATTTGTAGTGTACCAGGCGCCGAAGTTGTTTTGAAACAGCGCGTGTTTGAGAAGGAGGGTTGCATTTCTAAGTAAATCCCTTTAGTTTTCCGGACATTACTAATAACATCTTTCAGTTTTAAATTTACGGGACGTAGAGTGAAATGCATCAACATGGTTTCGTACAACTACCTTGGGTTCGCGGAAAATTGCGGAGGAGGCTCGGATTTTGCTATCAAGGCAATTTACGAGAATGGACTGTCGACGGGAAGCACACGCCTTTTGTATGGTTCACTGGATATCCACAGCGAGCTGGAAAAACTGACCGCCGAGTTTCTGGGAGTAGAAGATTCACTATCCTGCGGAATGGGCTTTGCGACCAACTCGCTTAATTTACCCGTTATAATATCGAGGGAGTGTCTTGTATTAAGTGACGCAAAGAACCATTCCTCAATTATTCTGGGTGCGAAAATTTCGGGTGCTACGATAAAAGTGTTCAAACACAATGGTACATGTTTACGCAAAAGTACAAAAGCTGAAGCGATGTTTTCTAGATGTCGACCACCTAGAACTCCTACTGAAGGAGGCTGTATATTACGGCCAAAATCGGGTAGGGGATTACAAACCTTGGAAGAAGATTTTTATAATAGTTGAAGGAATGTACAGTATGGAAGGAACATTCGCACCATTACCGCAGATCATTGCTCTTAAGAAAAAGTATAAGGCGTATTTGTATGTAGACGAAGCTCACAGTATTGGAGCCATGGGAAAAAGTGGAAGAGGCGTTGTTGAGTATTATGGTTGTAACCCCAAAGATGTTGATATTTTAATGGGTACGTATACCAAGAGTTTTGGAGCGGCTGGCGGTTATATCGCAGGGTCCAAGGCGTTCATCTCACATATGCGGTCGAATAGTTACGCGTCGAAATACGCATGGTCCATGTCACCCCCTGTAGCCGCACACATTGTGGGGGTACTTAAAATACTTATGCAAATGGACGGCACGACCATAGGCCAAACTCGACTCTCAACTATGGCCAGAAACACCAAGTACTTTCGGCTCAAGTTACGACAGATGGGACTCATTATTTACGGATGCGAGGACTCGCCAGTGGTACCGATACTCTGCTACTTCTACTCCAAAATGGCGTACGTCTTCAATCGATAGATTTCCCTTGTTACTGTCTTCTTTTAGCGCAATGGTTAGAAACTTGAGGGAACACAAGGTCGCCGTTGTCGGTGCCGGTTATCCTGCTACGCCTTTCCTAGAGGGGCGTCTGCGAATTTGTATTTCAGCGTGTCACACCAAGGAGCAGCTCGATTACGTTCTGGAAGTCATCGCAAAGGCCTCAAATGAGTTTGGATTGTTTTATTCCAAACTTCCTCGAAGTAATAGATTCATTGAGTACTAAAAGCTATAATTTAATTAACGACACCGTGCGTGCTCTATTTTTGTGTATATGTATTTAATCATTATTACCTGATCTCTATATAATATGGTACTGTTATTCATGGAAGGATTATTCCATAACTCCAGTGATTAGCTAACGGGTTGAGTTTCATCGAGAGGTGTAGAAAATAAACAGCCTCAAATAAAAAATTTTTCCATACAATTTATGGTTTCTCACAGCACACTCACCCTTATTGGGAGATAGACATGGTAATCTCGCATCAGGAAAATACTGTAACGTGATTTATAAATTCGGGTTCGATTTATATCAATATTTATTAAACAAAACTAAAACACTATAAAAACTGTACAATTTGTATCGACTATTTATATCACACACTTCGCAATTTATATTTCCGCGCTCTATGTTTCATTCGTACTCGATCTCGTTCGGTAGTAAACTGCCGCGATGTTCGGTCCGCAACCATTTATACACGCAAGCAAGTCCAGAACATTCGCGTAATTACCAGATACGTTGCAAACATTCCCACTATCGCGCGCCTAGAAAATTCCAGAGCGCCAAAGGCGACGTCATGTCTGGAGCGTTTCCGTTACAATACTTATAAGTATAAGCGAGTATAAGTGTAGTACTGGTGGTGGGGTATACGATAAGCAGCACACATTACATCACAAAATCAACTCGACGAGCTTCCATAATATAATAATAATAATAATGCAAGTGCGCATATTAGGCATATCATCAATTTTGTATAGACAATATTACGATTTCTAAATAGTTCATTTCCGCGTTTTGAATAATTTCTTGTATCGTGTATCTTGTTTTTATGTGATAATTAATCGAATTTGAGCTATATAATACAATGGATAATCAAATTTGGATGAAAGAATTACGAAATAGTTTAATACGCCGCCGTTTCAACCCATTGTTATTCTAATGTGAGACAAAGTTGCGATAATTAACGGGTTTTTTTAACTGTTACACAATATATACAATGGAAGGCCATGTCGTAAATGGTATTTCGATTAATACAAAAAAGTACTGCTCAATTAATATACCAAACAAACTTACAGAATCCATAGAATATACGCAAAATGTACGTACTTAAGGGTCTACAAAAGCTAAATCAAAATAATCCGTTAGAGTCTCTACAGAATTTACACATCTATTGTGTCTACAATCGTGAAGCGTCTGTGGGTCTGAATTGGAGTAGGGCCATGATTGAACCAGTGTACAAAATTGTGCGATTAACAAGTAGTCAAAAGACATGGCATGTTTTTTCGTGTTAATAAACTTTCGATAAGGACGATCGGCTTTAGTTAAGTAGCCGTTTCCCATAAGAACCGTGGAATCAGCACCGCCTTTCCCAGGAAACGAGAAAGCAAGATCAACAGATTGTAATTTCATATTAATGTAAAATGACTTAAAATTCATTCCTTGTCTGTACGCTTTTCAATAAAGTCGATAGTTTGTATAATTTCGCGTTTTTTAAAAACGAGAATCGTTTCGGCGAATCTATAAGTGGCGCAGTCGGTAGGATTGTGTGGAAGTGATTTTTGAACTGTCCATCGAGTGACCAAATTTCGCTACCAGGGATTTCAAGCCCATAAACACAATCTCAAAAGGACCAACGAACCTAAGGGAATCGATCCATTCATCTTTCATCGACTACAAGCATCTAAGACAAGCAATCGGGAAGGAAACGGAGACCACGGAAACGTAAGTGCCATTTCCTTTCGCCCTTACTAACCCTCTGCTTAAGGTACTTAGTTAGGATAGGTAGGCGTTAATGATTACGCAAGGAATATTGAGAGCTTTATCAGTCTATTGAAGACAAAATTAAATCAATTTCAATTACCAATACATTTTTTCAAGATAATTTAAATATATAAGTATAGGAATTGCATATTTCCTTTATGAGTAAGATTGAAGAGTTAGTAGAAAAATTAAATACGGTAGGTACTCACATTAAGCGAAACTAGTACAAACGATACTGCAGGTACAAGTAGTAAAATGCAGACCGCAAGTAACGATAAAATTAATTGGAGTTTTTTCAAGTCTAAGTTAGAAAGTATTAAATCTTATGATGGCGATGCCAATACGTTAACCAAATTTATTGACGGATGCGAAAGTCTTATTAGTGCGTATAGTTCACTTAACGATAATGAATTAGATAAGCACATTTTTCAATGTATACGGGGAAAACTAGAAGGAAAAGCTGAAATTCTGGTGAGAAATCGATCAGAACTCTGTACTTGGTATGATTTAAAAAATGCCCTTATGCGATGCTTTGCAGATCGAAGAGATCTCGACTGTTTGATCCAAGAATTAACTAGAGTTCGCCCTAACAGAGGCGAACACCTGCTCGATTTTGGTACCAGGTTACAATTACTTAGAAGTAGCGTAGTGCAAAGAATAAGTAACGATGGGTCCTTAACAACCGCCGAAAAGTTGTGTCATATAAATTACCACGATAAAACTGCGTTGAATACATTCATAGCAGGTTGTTCTGGCACTCTTAAAAATAATATGTATTTAAAAAAGCCGGATACCCTTGAGGATGCAATGGCTTATGTTTCGGAATTTGAAAATTTTGAAAGACTGTACGGTAACGTAGGAAATGCTAATAGCCCAGCGCACTTTCCATTTCAAAGACAAACGCAAAATCCCCCCTTACAAACCAGGCCAAATTTCGAAAGGTTTCCACCCCGAAGAGATCAAAATTTCGGTTATAATAATTTTAATCGACCTAACTTTTCGACATCTTATGTCAGACCATCGTGGCCCTCTCAACCTATTGATATTCGTGCAAGACAATTACCTCCTAGGAGATTTCCGACTAATAAAGAAGTATTTGGTCCGCTCGTAAATGTCTTCAGGGCAAATCAAACCCCCACGCATCAACTTCCCAAAGCTACGGCAATGTATGGACTTTCTAGGAATTCTAATTCGTTTTCTAAACAGCGACCATTGCAATATAATAATCAGAACCCCAATTTCGTTTTTGAGGAGCTTCATAATAACGAGTGCGATCAAATGCAATCGCAACCGCATTTTCTTAATAACTATTTCATTCCGAAGGGTCGTTTCACGCAGAAACAGACATCCAAAATAATTTCACATCTGGAGAGAATTTCGAAACCAATCAAGATGCAACTGAATACGATGCCGGCATCCAAAACAAAAGGGCAAATTTTCGCGGTCCCGGCCTATTGGAAGACCAGACCTAGTAGAAATCAATATTGCATCGGCCAGCACGCTACCATATATCGAAATTAAACAGCCTAACGTAAAATTACTCATAGATACAGGTAGCTCTCGTTCTATGCTAAGACCGTCAATTGTTGAAACTTATTACCCTCATTGTATTTACCAGCATAATAATATACTTAAAACCGCCACAGGCAGCGAAAATACACGATTTCAGGCAAATATAAAGGCGTTCCCTGAATTTGGCACAAATTACGAAATTAGTTTTATCCTTTTTGATTTCCATGAGTTTACTAAACATGGGGTTGAATATCGACCTAGTCAACCGAAAATTAGTAGGACAAAATTTGGAAATACCCTTTAAATACCGACGTCCCCTTGAAATAAACTTTTCTGTTGCGTTAAACCCCAATGAAAAAATTTTGAGAAAGGTGCCAGTTGATATTTGGCAAGGCGAAATTATAGTTCTCATCAGCTACAAGAAATAAAATGAACTCAGGAAACGTTAGAAATAATAATATCCAGCATTTGATACGGACGCAGCATATGAACTCCGAGGAAAAGTCAAACATAATTAAACTATGCCAACAATATTCAGATATTTTCTACCAGCCCGGAGACCCATTATCGTTTACGTCGAAAATTAAACATGAAATAAAGACAACGGACGAACTACCGGTCTACACGAAATCATATCGTTATCCGTATGTCCACAAAGAGGAAGTACGCAGGCAGATCGACGAAATGTTAGAAAATAAGACCGTCCTCCAGCCCGTGGTCTTCGCCGATTTGGATTGTTCCGAAAAAATTGGACGCAACCGGAGTGCAAAAATGGAGAATAGTCGTAGATTATCGGAAGGTCAATGAGAAGACAATTTCAGATAGATACCCAATTCCAAATATCAACGACATACTAGACAAACTTGGAAGAGCGCAGTATTTCTCAACCCTCGATCTTTCAAGTGGTTTCCACCAAATAGAAATGCACAAAGATTCGGTGGAAAAAACGACATTCACAGTGGAAAACGGTCATTACGAATATAACAGAATGCCATTTGGACTCAAAAATGCCCCGTCCACCTTTCAAAGGGTGATGGATGAAGTTCTAAAGGATGTACAGAATAAAATTTGCATGGTATTCATGGACGACGTTATAGTGGTAAGTACCAGTCTAAAGGAACATATACAAAATCTAAAATTGGTTTTCCAAAAACTTCGAGAAGCAAACTTAAAAATACAAATCGATAAATGCGAATTTTTATGCAGGGAAGTGGAATTTTTAGGTCACGTAGTTACTCCACAGGGAATAAGACCCAATAAAAAGAAAATAGCAGCCATTCAAAAGTACCCAATCCCAAAAACTCAACGAGAAATTAAATCTTTTCTAGAATTGTTAGGTTACTATAGAAAATTTATTGAAAACTTCGCCAAAATTACAAAACCCATGACGCAGTGCTTGAAGAAGAATAGTAAGGTCGAACACACCCGGGAGTTCTTGGATAGTTTTAACACATGCAAGAATATCTTAACATCTGAACCTGTCCTAGCATATCCAGATTTTTCTAAGACGTTCGAGTTAACTACAGACGCCTCTAACTATGCCATATCTGGGGTTTTATCACAAGGAAATCATCCCATTTCATACGCATCAAGAACCCTAAACCCTGCCGAGGTAAACTATTCTACCATAGAGAAGGAGTTATTAGCGATCGTTTGGAGTTGTAAATATTACCGACCTTATCTTTTTGGAAGAAGATTCATCATATATACGGACCACAAACCTTTACAGTGGTTAATGTCAATGAAAGAGCCAAACTCTCGCCTGGTACGTTGGAGACTCAAGCTTGAGGAATTTGACTATGAGATTAAATACAAAGCTGGAAAAGGTAATTTGGCAGCGGATGCCCTTTCCAGAAATCCCGTCGACCTAAATGCTCTAGAAACTGAGTCCATCTTCAACAACCTGGGAGACTCCGATGAAATCATAGAAGATTTTCTGCAAAATACGGATCAGATACTACCAAATTTAGATGAGAGCGAAATTATGGAAGTTTTGCAACCACTTACGCCTGGTTACGCTTCGCCTAAAATTAAAATAATTTCAGATATTCAAATAAATCCCCCCAATAATCAGC